GGGGTTGGCAAACTACATTCTGAGGGTCAAATCCTTCCTATTTAAAAATGTAAAAACCATTCTCAACTTATGGGCAGTTCAAAAGCAAGTAGCAAGCTAAATCTGACCTGTGAGTTATAGTTTACATATCCTGGTTCTGGGAGCCCCTTAAGAAGGGAGTGGAGGAATTCCCTTTCCAAGGAGATCGGATCCCAACTCCTCTGTAACTTAGTAAGTAAGTCTAAGTCTTCAGAGAGTTGCTGAGGCTCAGAGAAAGAGAGGTTAAAGGACTTCCCCATGATCCCAAAGCTCCTTAGTGTGAAAGGTGGTTTTGAACCCAGATTTCTCTGACTTTCAAATCCACCATTCTATCTACTATGCTGCATTGCCTCTCCCCAGCTTAATGCTATCAGTAGATTTTATAAACATGACATCAGGACCAGCTTCATGCTATCGGTAGATTTTATAAACATGACATCAGGATGATATCATGGAAAAAGCCTTGGAATTAGAGGCAGAAGACCAGGGTTCAAATCCCACACCTTTTCCTTATGATATGTGTGACTTTGAATAAGTTATTTTAACCTTCTCAAGGCTGTTTTCTGTAAAATGAAGGGGATGGACTAATTACTCTCCTAACTTCATTGACACTAGTATAGACCACCCAGCATTAAAGAAGGTGTTGTACTCTATGAGAAAATCAGAATTGCAGTAGCTCAAAAGGACCACGAGATGCACAAGTTTAGTAGCATCTCTCTCCAAATGGTCATATGGACTATTTGTGTCCAACCTGTGATAGAGCCTTCCTACCTCCTATTGGTCTGATCAGCCACAGTCAATACACTTATACATTGATCCTGACATAATGATGTCATTTTGGTCCTCTTTAAGTATGCAAATCCTGTGATCCCATGATCTAAACATTAATTTGAATCATTGCTAAGTAGTTTGACAGACAATGCCTGATCTGAACTGTGCTTTCTCTCTCTCTCTCTCTGTCTTTGTTACAAGGGAGAGCTCACTGGAGAGGGTAGGGGAAAGAGACATATTTGGAAAAGAATATGACAAAGACAAATCAATTTAAAATATCAATTAAAGAAAAAATAATAAAATAAATCAATAAAAATATCAATTAAAAATATAACTTTTTAAAAGACTAAGCAGAAGATGGCCAACATATATTTAGTAAATACCTTAAAGGAAGTTAAGGATTGTAAAAGGTACAGGTGAGGAAGAAGTTCATTAGGTGAGTGGAGTAGCCTAGGCAAATACATCAAGGTGGGAAATGTGATGGTGAGTTCAGACAATGGCAAGCAGGCCAATTTGCTTGGAACATAGAGTAAATGAAGTGGGACTTATACTAAATACAACTGGGAAAGTTGGAGGGAACTAGATTCTGAAGGGCTTTAAAAACCCGCAGAGGAATATTCCTATTATCCTAGAGGCAACAGGGAGCAAGCTAGGAAGGAAATAAGCATTTAATAAATACGTACTATGTGCCGGCTACATAGTCAGGCTGCTAGGTGGTGAAGTGGATAGAGTGCCAGGCCTGGAGTCAGGAAGACTCATCTTCATGAGTTCAAATCTGGCCTCAGACACTTACTAGATGTGTGACACGAGGCAAGTCACTTAACCTTGTTTGCCTCAGTTTCCTCATCTGCAAAATGAGCTGAAGAAGAAAATGGCAGACCATTCTAGTATCTCTGCCAAGAGGTCCCTAAATGGGGTCATGAAGAGTCAGACCCAACTGAAACCACTGAACAATACCAACCATAACCGATCACCACTGCTACTGACAATCAACAACAGAGGCTGAGGCAGCCGAAGAACAACCTGAATGATCCAGCCTAACAGTGAACTGACCTTGACCTTGCCCGTATCTCCCAGGGAAGGAGGCCACTCGTTTATCTGCTATGTCATCCCCAGGAGTGAACTTGATGGCAGGAATGTTTGTTGTAACCATTCAGTCCAGTCTCCAGAGGGACCTAGGTGTTAGAAAAGAGTGTGCCCCAGCTGTGTTATTTTTTTAACTGTGGGTGTTGTATCTTCTTAGGAAACATCTCTTTGTAATAGCTAATTGATGTTGATTGGCTTTGTAAGTGATTGAGAAACTATCAACTGATCAAAATATTGGGACAGTAATCACTGGTAATTGATATGGGGGGGGAGGAATACATTAAATATGGACTTGAGTAATGGCATCAGAAAAACCTTGTAGTCTCTTATGGATACTCCCTGAAGGGAGATGAAGTAGTAGTTTTGCTCTAGGAACCAAAGTAGACATTGTGATCAGGGTTTGGGAGAGTAAAACTAAAGTGTACATGTTTCATATTCGAGGCCCCATCTGGGATAAACCCAGCGTCCTTCACATTTGTGGGGACCCACTGGACAGATTCTTTACTAAAGACGCTATTGGATTCTCTAGTTTAGGGGATCCAATAGAGAAAAACTGGCGTTTTTTTTTTCCTATTTTATTTTAAGCCGTAATCGTACAGTAAGTTTTTCTGGTATGTTTCCTTACAAGTCAAACCGATCCCTTTATTATTATTTTTCCTTATTTGAATGTAGGTATGCTGGTTACTTGGGGTGATTAGGTGGCACAAGGGATACAGCCCTGGGCCTGGAATCAGGAAGATCTGAGTTCAAATCCAATCTGATTAGGTGGCACAAGGGATACAGCCCTGGGCCTGGAATCAGGAAGATCTGAGTTCAAATCCAATCTCAGATACTTACTAGGTGTGTGACCCCAGGCAAGTTGCTTAACCCCTATTTACCTCAGTTCCTCTTCTGTAAAATGGGGACACATTGGAGAAGGAAATGGCAAAATGCTCCAGTGTCTTTGCCAAGAAACCCTGGTGTCATCAAGCATCAGACTCAACTGAACAACAATGATACTGCTAACTGCTGTATAATTGTGCCCAGTGTAAGTATTGTAACTAATATAAGAAGCATGAATTTTGCAGTCCTAAAATGCTGGTACCTGGCTCATCAATACTCATTAAAAAGAAAGAAAAGAAGGGGCAGCTAGGTGGCGTGGTGGATAGAGCACCAGCCTTGAAGTCAGGAGGACCTGAGTTTAAATCTAGCCTCAGACCTAACACTTACTAGCTGTGTGACCCTGGGTAAGTCACTTAACCCTAACTGCCTAAAAAACAAAACAAAAAGAAAAAAAAATTAAATAGACCTTGACTGCTTGCCTTACTTGTGTGATCCTCATTAAAGACAGATCCATAGGATAATGTTTGACTGCTGACTCAATTAACTTTTAAAAATAAATATTTACTGAGAAGTTATAGTTAAGATTCAAAGTAGGAACACATCTCATCTGCAAAATGAGCTTGGACTAATTGGTTTCTGAGGTCTCTTCTAGTTCTTGATCATGACCTTATGTCCTCTCCCCAAACTGTACTGGGAAAATTGTAAAGGGGAAAAAAACCCAACCTAACCAACCTGTAGAGACTAATCACTGGCCAGGCAGGAAGGGGGAAGTTATTGAAACAAAGCAAAATAAACAAACAAAAAAAACCAGGTGACTCTCTGGAAGGAAACAACTGCCTACTCTGTTGGGTGAGGCTGTATGGTTGGCTTGGCTGAAGCCACGGCTCTGGGTGTGTCTAGTTCCTAAGGAAGAGTGTTCCAAGTGTAACTAGCACTGGTTCTCATTGCTTTGTTTCCTTGAGACCCATTATGCTACATCTCATCCCTCCCCCAGAGTTCTCCCTGAGATCACTGAGAGCACCCAAAATTGAGGACAAGCTAAACAGAAGAGAAATACCCTCCAAAGCTCATTTCTGGGAGCTGGGTGAAAAGGGGAAGTAACCCTCCTCCTGGTTCAGTTGGGGATTCCCACACTATGAGTGAACTGTGATCTTTGTCCTCTACACACAGCAGGAAAGAGCATACCAGGAAGAGTGCCTGTCTCAGGCTGACCAATTTTAAAAGACATCAGCCCGTTCCAGTTACACAGCAAAACAAAGGATGCTACTCCCATCTGCATAGCAGGGGGGAAACCCGGAAGCAGTTAGGGAATCTGGATATTCCCTTCACATTTATACTCTCTCAGCCCCATCAAGTCAATCATCAAGTCAAGGCGGGTAGGCTTTGCCACTCTCTCACTTCTATGACCATTAATTAGTCAGTCACTGAGCAGTCATTCCAACCTGTTTATTGACGTCAATGTTGCTTCCTTGCTCTTTCTTTCCTGCTGTTCTGGGTTGCTTAGTTCCTTTCCTCTTTCTCTTACCCCACCCCTTAAAACTTAAAAAAAAAAACCTGTTTGTTGGCTACATCCCTTGAAACCAAACCATATAAAGAGAGGAAGCTTCAGTGAACCGAATTCTCCTGGTGCCTGGGGCAGGCAAAGCTTCCTGAAAAGACTGATGGAAGAGGTAGGGGATTCCTGGATAGTTCCCCGTTCTCTGTGGAACTTTTTGTCCAGCACAGTTCTGTACCTCATGCCAGCTACGGTGTCTAAGAGTAAGGTGAGGCAGTGTGTTGTTGCTGATGTGAAGGGCTAATCATGCTTCCCTCCACCCCCACCTCCCACTCCCAAAGGAGGAATGATATTCCTTTCAACCCTTCATTCCTCCCTCAAGTCAATGGAAAGAGGAAGTGGTCAAAGTATCATCTCTCATTCCAGTCACAGTCACTCCTGCCTCCCACCCCAAACTGAAGCGATTAAACACATCTAAAAATGCTTCAGCTCTGTTTTCTCTCTGCTCTGAAAGACTATAAAGTATTAAATAATTCTTTTCCTCTCCCTCTCCCACTCCTAGGGGTTCCTCTTTCCCTCAGGTGATTGCCCTTCTCTCTGCTGCATTTAAGTAATGAAATTCTTAGATGAGTTAATGGTTAAATCCAGCCATCTTTGAAAATATCTCTAAACAGCTAACTAGAAAGCAGATAAATTCACAAGACACATCAGGAAAGGTATCCCTCTCCCAGGAAGAGAGGGAAAAGGAGAAGGATTGCAGCTCCGTTGCTATCAACCTCATCGATACTGCTCTGTTGACCCTAGGTATCTAGAGCTGTTTCCCTGGGCTCCTCCTCTGCCATTTTACTTGTGAACACTTGTGCACGCTTTCCCCTCCTGCTTTGCTGTAACAAGGTGACTTCTTGTACTTTGCTTCTAGTTTCTTTGAGTGTGCATCCAACTTGTAGGCTGCCTGCTCCAGAGCTGCTGCTTGTTCCTCTATTAAAGTGATCTGATCCAGACAAGGCCAAAGTGCTGTGTATTTCTGGTTTAAGTCCTTTAGGTTTCTACTTATGTTTACTGCCATATCTTTAATTTCTAGATACTTCAAGTTAGTCAGTTTGTTCATATTTTCCAAAAGTTTATAGTCTTCACTGTTCGCTGTCAGCTCACCTGTCAAGTACGTGACCATTTTGGAGAACATGTCCTCACACAGCCTGGTGATGTCCACCTTGGTGGGTTCTGTGCCTCCTCGGCATCCTCTAGGCCAAGGAAGGGAGGAAGGAGAAAGGATGGAGGGAAAGATGGGAGAGGGAAGGGGAGGAAGGGGAGAGGGAAGGGGAGAAAGAAGGAGAGAAAAAGGATTTTGCAAGTTTTTTGGCTTAAGGAAATTGCTTGTTATTATAATACTATAATAATGTAATAACAATATAAACCTTTCTCAGCATGGGGCAACTCACTTTGTAGTGAGTTTCTATGAAGGTCTCATATCCAAAATATTTAATGAATAGATTCAAATGTATAAGAACAATGTTCATTTCCTAACAGATAAAGTATCAAAGGATATGAACATATTGTTTTCAAAGGAAGAAATCCAAGCTATCAATAGACATGAAAAAAAATGCTCCAAATCTCTAATAAGAGAAATAAAAATTAAACCAATTCTGAGGTTCCATCATCACATTGACAAAAGGGACAAAAAGGGAAATGACAAACGTTAGATGGGCTGCAGGAAAACAAGTACTGTTGGTGGAGCTGTGAACTGGTATGCTTCCCCAGCCCGCCCCAACCCTGCCCCAACCACTCAACTTTGACCCAGCAATATCACGTCTAGGCCTGAAAAGATCAAAGAAAGGCAGAAAAGACCAATATGTACAAAAATATTTGTAGCAGTTCTTTTTTGTTATAAAAAAGAATTGGAAATGTAGGGGATACATATCAATTGGGGGATGGCTGAACAAATGGTTCATGAATGGTTAGTGGGTTTATGAATGTTATTGCTTCATGAGAAATGATGACAGGAACCTTTTCTGAGAAACCTGAAAATACTTGTATGAACTGGTGCAGAGCAAAATGAGCAAAACCAAGAAAACAATTTATACAATGATAATAATACTGCACAAGCAACTTCAAATGATTTTAAAGTTCTGATCATTTGCAAGATTCTAAAGGACTGATGAAGAAGCATGCTGCCCACCTTCTGACAGAGAGGTGATGGATGCAAAGTACATCCAAGGAGACATTTTCAGACATAGCCAATGGGGGAATTTATTTTGCATCACTTGCATATTTGCTATAAATATTTTGTTTTTCTTTTTAAAAAAAGTGGGGGCGAAGATGGGAGAGAGAAGAGAATTTGCAATAAGGTTGTTTAATAAAAACGAAAAGAGGGTTTTTGAGGCATTTTTTAAATTCACAGAAGAGGGAAACTCAAACAGGACAGCTTTGAAAATTACATGTTTAAGTTAGGAAAAGGAAGTTGTATATAATACAGATTCATAGTTGTCTATACAATCTATTTTAGCTTGTATATAGAAATGCTCATCTTATTTAGTGTTTGTTAAATTTAGAGTAAAAAAAATTAAATTAAAAACAAGAAAGGAAAGATGTTTTCTCAATGCCCTCTAAAGGGCGATTGTGAATTAAAAGAACTTATAACTCTTTCATCAGTTCAAGAGCAGAAGTGCAACAGATTTGCCTAGTACAAGAGCAATGAGGAGCAGAAGGTGAGCATCTAGCAGAAAAAAGGTTTATGAGGTTCAGATTGTTCCTGAAGGAACCAAGGAAATCAGATCCTGCAGTCCAGAGTCATAAATGGCTGTTTGGGCATATGAGTATTCTTTACTCATAGGATTTTCTGCTAGGTTTTTATAAGCAGGTGCTCACTCTTTCACATAAACACTAAATGTATTGGTGGGAAAATGTGATCCAGGACTATGATGTTTTTATTATTTTTGCATTTGCCTTATACTGAAAAACTGTGATATTATAATTATTTTTGCTTTTGCCTTATCATTAAATAAATATTTTATCTTTAAGAATTAATGGTCATGGTTATTGACTTTGTGTGAGTGGGAAGTACACCTGTTGGGGCTTGGGAGCCACAGTAGTGAGTAGTAGAAGTATATCCTTCCCCCCAAAACAGAGTTACCCTTAGGACACTGAGAAAGTTTGAGTTGTAGCCATGCAACAATCATGGGCCGTCAGGATCAACTGGATCTCGTACAGGACTGGATCACCAGGACTTGGTGTGAGAACAGGTTGGAGCGAGCAACTCATCCCAAAGGGAAAGGAGGTGGTCAAATCCTATGCAGGGGCTAGATGAGGTTATAGCATTATTCCATTATGTTCACATCATAATTTGTTCAGCCATTCCCCCATCATTGGACACATGTGGATGAACACTTCTCTTGAATGTTGTATAAGTAGTTTGTGTGTCATGCAGAGAATAGGAGTAGGATGATCTCTGAGGACTCTTCTAAGCTCTAAGATTCAATGGATGTAAGTGCCCCCTCCACTTCTCCAAGGCATCTATCCTGAGTCCTTCTTGGGATAGCTGGTACTCAGATGAGGTGCCTCAACCAGCTCCCGTGCTATGTAAAGCCAGAGTGCTTTATCATGGTATAAGTTATCCCTTCCATAGCAAGAGAGTTAGGGACAGGGACGCAGTGCCACCTGCAATCCCCATGATCTGGAAAATCCATATAAAATTTTTTGGCTCTCCTCCTATATTAGAGAAGGTCTAAATTATTACAGTATTAAAAGATAAAGTATTTATTATTATATAACACTACATATATTTTATGTATTTCTGTTTCTAAACTTTTTCTGTCATCTGTTAGCCTTTGCACATTGTCTGCAGCTTCTACAAAACTCCCCCCAAATTCACATTTAATTTCTTATGCTGACATGTGGTGTATTGAAACTGCAATGGGGAAATTCATGATTGGAAGGAATAACTGTGTATGTATCAGCTCATGAGAGAAGAAATACCTTGGTGCTCTGGAAGGAGTGTTGAGCTTAGAGTCAGAAAATCCAGGTTTGACTTCTGGTTCTTTCACTTACCTTGGATATATGACACATCCTCTCTGAGCTTCACTTTTTTTTTATCTGTAAAATGAGGGAATTGGGCTAGATGACATCTAAGGTACCATCTACATCTAAATCTATGATGTTATTTGATTCTCACAACAACCCTGAAAGATAAATAGTACATGCATTATCATTCAATCATTCAACTAATCAGTAAACATTTATTAAGTGTCTACTATGTGGCAGGCACTGTGCTAAGAACAGCAGATACAAACAGAGGCAAAAGACAGTCCCTGCCCTCAAGGAATTTACAACCTAATGATAATCACCTCAATTTTACAGAAAATTAAATTGAGGCTCAACTAGTGGTAAGTGTCAGAGAGTAATTCAGCTTTCTTTGGACTTCAAGTCCAGTATGCTTTCCTCTAATTATACTCATTTTCCACCCTGCTCAAGAATGTCTGAGAACAAAGCAGAGTTGATTTTAGAGATCACTTAGGTCATTGAGTGATAAGAATCTTTATCTTCATTTTGATTTTAACTCATTATCTTCTACCAAGAAGGAACCCTTCTCATCCCAGGCCTTAGCCATTTGTTGTACAATTGCCTCCAGAGATTGGTGGCTTAGGGCAGCTACGTGACAGTGGATACAGCACCTGTCCTGAAGTCAGGAAGACCCGAGTTCAAATCTAGTTTCAGATATTTACTAGCTGTGTGACCCTGGGCAAGTCACTTAACCTTGTTTGCCTCAGTTTCCTCATCTGTAAAATGAGTTGTCCATGGGTCACAAAGAGTTGGACATGATTGAATAACTGAGCAACAGCCTCTTGTATCAGATCCCATGCTCTTTCAATTGTACCACACTTCAGTTCTAGCATCAGTAAAAGGGTCTACAGGAAGTGAGTCTGACATTATATGCAACATTCTCCACCCACAGTCCTTCACCTTTGCAAAGAAAGGAGGGAGATGCATTTTTTTAAAAACTCTTCTCTGGGGCCAAACTTAGAGGGCTTTTCTAACGCACAACATCTCATGACAATAAGGTCTGTGTAAAGGCCATGGTGAGGATAGGCTCCTTCTCTAGTCCCCAAGGGGCAGGAAGTTGGGGTTTAGGATGCTGCAATTTCATTTGTCTGAGAAGGGTGTAAGAATGGCTTGTTGCAGAAGCTGGAACTTCCACACTACTCAGTTTTGCCCAACCACCCTACATTAAGAAATTTTGTAGATAGGTTTAGTGGGAAGGAAATTGAGATTTGACATCTCTTTCAAACTCTGCCCTTATTTGTGTCAGCTGTGTATGGAGGGTTGGGGGTGGGGAGGGAGGATCTTTGATCTTCTATACCAGGGGTAGGGAACCTGTGGCCTTGAGGCCCCATGTGGCCTCTATTAGGTCCTCAAGTGTGGCTCTTAGACTGAATCCAAACACCGTACATTCTCCACCCTGGCTTTATACCCAAAGAACTGGGGTCAAACCCACATGAACTGATAAAAGAAAAAGGGAAATATTTCTTCAGTTCAGTTTATCCTTGAAGCTATTTCTCACCAAGTGAGAGAGGCAAAAGGCCCCAGTCAAAAAATTTATTGAGCACCTACTATGCCACGCACTGTGCTAACACTGGGGAAACAAATATAAAAAGGAAAAAGATGAAGAAAAACCATCTCTGCCCTCAAGAAGTTTATAATTGAAGATGGGAAGATAAAAGGAAAAAGACAAAAGGAAGCTGAAAAGGGTGGGGTGGACATGGGGGGTTCTAACATTCTGTGAGTCCATGAATTCGTTGTTAATACACCGTGGAAATTATCCTAGGAAATGTCAAAGGGTGCTTAGGGGTATATTTCACTGCTATAGATAAATAAGCCACATACTTGTGGTTGCTGAACTAAAATCTTCCTGTTGACATGGGTGTGTGGATGTAAAATTCTTCAGATTAAAGAGGCCCAGAAGGGCAGGGTCTGTTTGATTTACCCTAAACACACCTTCTTCTGCCTCCATGAAATATCTTCCCTTCCATCTCTGTCTGCTGAAATCCTGCCTGTTCTTCAAAGCTGAGCTCAGACTCATTCATTCACTGGACATTTTTAAACATACAAAGATGAGCCCATTACTGGATTCCTCATTACCTTTCACCCCCATATCCAAATTATTGCAAAGGCTTCCCCATTTCACCTTTT